CTCTCTCTCTCTCTCTCTCGGGAGTCTGAAAACTAACGCCTCGCGTTCGTCGTACCTCCGGTAACGGAAGGGTACGTCCGGTCCGTTCTTCTACTCCTTTCCTTACGGAGTCTTCTTCGTCCTCCCTCGCCTCGCCTTCGGACGTCTCTCTCTCTCTCTCTCTCTCTCTCTAGCTTCCTGCCCTAATCCCCTGGAAAGAAACTCTCTATCTCTCTAGATATTCCCTGCCCTAGAAGGCAGGTCTCTCTCTCTCTAGAAGTAGAAGGAAAGGTTTCTCACTCTACTATAACTTCTCGTCTTTTTCTCTCTCTTCCTTGGGATATCCCCTCCTCGCGTGCCTACCCTAAAAAGGAAAAACCCTCTCTCGCTCTACCCTCTGCTTCCGTTGCCCTCTGATATCTGCCTGCGTGTGCTTAAGTGTCTCTCTCTGACGTCCTCACTCACTTTCTCTCTCTAACTTCCAGCTCTCCAGACTGCCTTTCAAAGAAGGGATCCATCCCTTATTTTATCTCTCTAACGCCCCTTCTCATTCTTCACATAAAGAAACTCCCCCTTCCTCTCTCTTCAGATAAAGAAAAGGCTTTCTCTCTCTATCCCCCTTCCTCTCTCTTCAGATAAAGAAAAGGCTTTCTCTCTCTACCCCATTCTCGCTCTTCAGCCAAAGAAAAGGCTTTCTCTCTCTACCACTTTCGGTCTCTTCAGCTAAAGAAAAGGCTTTCTCTCTCTACCCCATTCGGTCTCTTCAGCTAAAGAAACCGGCTTCCCATAAAACAGTGACGCACGCTTATAATATGAAGAGAGACCATAGTTAAGAGAGTGATGAAATGATCCTTGCTAATTTTTTCGAAATCGCTAGGTCCACCCCAATCCTAATCAAATGACGATAATGGCCCTGAATACCTTAAATTAGGCTGGGCTGGGCTCGGGCCGAGCCGATGGTTTAGCCCGGGTATCAGCCCCGCCAAATTACCACTTTTTGGACCCGTCTAAAACTAAATCCAAATTACACTTTTTGGACCCGTCTGAAACTAAATCATAAACTCTTTGTGGCCCAATTTGTATTATATCATTGAGGCTCCAGCCCGGACTCCAAAAATATTAATTTTATGCTAAAAAATATATTCATTCACCATTTTGATCTCAATGCTATAAATTCAAAAAAATAGATTTAAAGCCTTCAAAATATTCTATCTTTTAAGTATCCATTTTAGGTTTTACCATTTTATTAAATCTGCATTATTATAAAATCTCAAATACCATAGTCAGAAAAACAACGAGATTTGCACAACTTTCCAAGAGTTTTTGAGGCCGAACTGCATTTTTTAGTGAGTTTTGACGTACAAGCTTACACACTATGTGAAAAGTATACGATTAAACCAATTCCTTTCAAATGAAATAATCACACCTGTCGTTAGATGTAGAGTTGTGGAGCGGTAGGGTCAACTTTGTACTGTACTATTGAACTGAGATGCACCTCAAAAAACTATCGGAAAAGGTTGGACTTATGCTTAATTTGATCAACTCAACCTCAAGGCCTAAAATTTAATTATTTATAGATATGTTTGTTCTGCATCATTTTATAACCTTAAATTTCATGATAAGGGGTGACAATAGAATTTTATGCCATTAAGATTTCCATCGAACAAAACTATTATTATGATATGCGCTTTACTACTAATACAAAGAGATCACTTATATAGGGGATCACTTACAAAGAGACCATGTATCTATTGTATATAGAGGTCATAATCATTCATGTCTCTTAAATTTTAAAATAGATGGTTGTGATAGTGTTATTAAATAAACATAAAGTTAAAAAAAAAAACTTTTTGGACTTCATGACTCACCCCCAAACCATACAATTTGACTTGAGATCTAATGAATATGAATTATTTATGACCTCTATATACAAAAAATAGATTGTCTTTTTATACACAATCCCATATTATAAAGGAAAATTGTTTGATATGGTTGTAGCCCTTTAGGCCGAACATCTTGGCCTTAACATTATAGTCGTGGAAAAAAAAAAAACGATTTCAAGCTCAAAAAATAGTTTATATGGTAACAAATTATCTAAGTCGTCTATTTCTCCCTAAAAATATGTGTTCATGGATCTGCAAGATCTGTACTTTTTTTTTAGTTTCAAAATTTAGTGTACTTTTTTTAAATTAATTTAGAGCCATTATAGATATTTATGTTGCCGAAAATAATTTCTGATTGATAATTTGAGGTGAGGGTTTATTTTGTGTTCTTAAAATCTAGGCCTTACAGAAATCTCAAGCATAAATAAATGTTTTGAGTTTAACTATAGTTTTCAAAACTTGATCGAGCTGGAGGTTAGGCCAATTGAATTTCCAACCGGTGCTTCGATTTCCTCAACGCTGTGCAACTTCAGAGTTGACACGTGTCTTCCATAATATTTATCAGCTCCGCGCTAACTTAAATGGCTCAAGCTGAGCTGGAGCCACAACGAAATAACGAACTTGGACCCTTTTTTAGCCTCTTTACCCCGAGTTGAGATCGCTTGTGTTTTGCTCCCGCGGGAGCAAACAGTTACCATTTACTCCATCGGGCAAAGGACCTACTTTGGGAGTATTTTCTGGCATGAAATTCTGGGACGCTCTACCTTTCATCGCAATTTTAAATCTGTGCATATATATGTGTGGGATTGTTGTCCCTTAAATTTCAAAATCAGTGGTCATAATAATTTTTTAGAAAAAAGAGACTATTTATCTTTTTTTAAGAAAGTCGTAATTATCCGTAATCATTGGATGTCAAATTAGATGACTTGTGGCAGAAAAGTTCAATATTTTTTTTTTTTAAGTTTTAGTTTAGTAATTGAGATTCATACAGCCACCTTATTTGAAATCTAATGGACAAGAGTAGTTGTGATCTCTTTGTAATAAAAATAAAAAATTTCTTCTTCTTTTTATAACTAAAAATAGATAGTTTCTTTTGTATATGAAGAAGGATTGATAGAGCTCTAAAGTTAAATCCATCAAAAATATTAATTGACTTCAACAACAAAATTTGTTATCCTTTGTTGACATTAGATGATCTAAGGCCTTGTTTATATCAATGTTGAATATGAAAGGGCACAATAACATATATCTCTTTAATGGGTAATTTTAGGGCCAGTCAATGTCCCTTCTTGTCTTGCCACTCATCCGTCTCAAGATTCTCATCTCAACTGCATATAGTAAAATTGGTCTCATAATTGTCTTATAAGACCTTTCCTTTAGCTTCATTAATATGCATCGATCATATAAAACTCCAGCTGCACATCTCTACTTGGCCCACTCAACTCTAATTATATGTATGACATTTTATTCAATCTCTCAAATTTTTTGGATTATTGACCTAAGATATCGAAAGTAAACTCTTTGTTATATTTATTATCTGTTAATTTTAACTATTTCTTTGTCTCTACTCCTATTATTACTAAACTTGTATTCCATATACTTCATCCAACTACTTTAAAAACCTTTAGCAACTCCTCAACCATCTAATATCTAAACGTGCCCGTTTGGACGTATCCATCATTCACAATTAAATCTCATAACTCAATCTCAATTTACTCACTCTTGAATAATCCCACTCGTGAGAAGTATGTCATGCTTCTCCCCCCTGCTTATCTAATTAAAAAAAAAACATAAACAAAAGACAAAAAATCCTCTATGCATTGCATAAAGAATATGCTTCTTTCAATGTCATGAATTACCTCATTCATAATTACGTTGTTTAAGGAAAAATTTTATACTTACCTTACATATATAATTTTTATAATTTGTATTAGAAAACCACAACCATCAGATCTGACCAAACAGCTGGGAAAATCATTGGATAACATTAACTATGTTTATCAGGTCATAATTAATCCAAACTTTTATAGTTGGTTCACTCCCAACCTTAGGATGTCTTGAGAGTTGAGACAAAAAAATCATACATGCCGAAAAACATAGAATCACTGTTTCAAAAACCGGCTCAGTCAACCGAATCAGGCACCAACTGGCCCGAGCCAGCTCCATAGTTCCATATTGCATCAGCAGGTTACTTCAACCTTATTCTGTATTGAAACCCAAAAGCAGTTAAATCACTGAGAACTGAGCGAGTTCATTAGATCTTTAGACCCGAATAGATACACCATCAGTTTGTAGCCATCTCGAGCAGTTTCAAGCTGGCTGGCTCATCTATTATTAGAACCAATGTTTCAAAACCCCAATTCGTGGGGCAGATCCTTCAGCCACAAATTTGTTTCGGATAAATTAGAGGTTTATGGGGTGAGCATTTGGATGAGACATAAGAAAATATTATAAAAGCTTTTAAGAAAATATTATAAAAGCTTATATATATATATATACTATTTGGGGAGAATCGGTCCATAACCTCGACCATCCCAAAACTAATTCAGTCCTGACCAATTTCTATCCAAATCAATGACTGGATTGGAAATTATTGAGTTTTCAAAATACTATGTAGAATGTTGCCAAGAAACTCACCTATTTTTCCAATTTTTAGCGTTCACCCATAGGGGTTGGGCCTGGCCAGACTTGGACACTATATATATTTAAAATGTTATGTTAAATATATACATGTATATTTAAATATTATAACTAAAATATGTAGCTATATTTATTTAAATATTATCAAAATAATATATATTAAATAACATTATTCGGGTCGGGTCGGCATGGACCTAGACCCGAATAGTTTTGGGGTCCAATAGTTGAACCCAGACCCTATCCACCAGGTCCAATCCTTAGACTCATACTCAAACCAGGTTGGGTCCAGACATTGAGTCCCGGATCCTTT